CTAAACATTGATCATACTCAAATGGTTTATAATCATGGAAATTTTTCAAGACCTAGTATTATGAACCCTGCTATGGACAGATTAGATAATACTGAGGATTCTTCTGGAAACTCAAGAAAGGGCATTATGCTGAATAATCCTACATTGCAAAGGCAATCATTATCAGACTACCCTGATAGAAGCAGGATATCAGAGGCATCAAAACATGGTGGGACATATTTGGGTTCTGGATGCACACATGACGACTTTGGAAGGAGAATGTCACAAGATTATGAAATATGCCATTTTGGTGCGTCACAGGATTGTCAGATCTCACACCTGAAAGCAGATTATGGTTTGGAAAGAGATGTGAGTATGAAGTATCAGGACAGGCTGTCTCCTCTGCCTACATATGATTCAGAAATGCGTAGGCATACTATTGGAATGCAGATTAGGAGAGAGGAGCTTGGAATATATGAACCATCAGATAGGGTGCTCAAAAGAAACTATGTTATTGGAGAAGATACAAGTACACATAATCCTAGAACATTTATGTCTGATAAATGGAGGTCTAGAGAATTCCAGGATTTATATGATAGTGGTGAAGAGTGGAATGATGGAGATGTAGGCAATTTGTATACATCTGCTTCGGCTGGATTTGACCATAATAGATACAGTAAGGCTGAGAGGGGGTTTGTTGGGCGAAACTATCATGATGAATATGCATCCGATGATTGGTTGCCATCTCAACGCTCTTTGGAACAAGCACAAAGGCATTCAGTCAGATTTTATAAACATGGTGATCGGTATTTAAAGGGTCATCGAAAACCTGGTTCATTAAGTAGACATAAGTTGAACCACACTGATATAAAAAGTGGTGTTCACAAACAGAACAGAGTTTGGAAAAGAAATGATAATTATCTAGAAGATGTCCATGCAGATGATGGTAATGATGCTGATCCATCAGAAAATGGGATGAGCTCTACAGGTCCTGAGCCATCCGAGGATTCTGTGGAGTTTATGCAAATGGTACATGAAGCCTTTTTAAAGTACTCTAAAAAGCTAAATATGAACACGGCTGTCCAGAGAAGATACAAGGAACAAGGAAAGGCTGGTACTTTGTTCTGCATCGTATGTGGCCGAAGGTCTGTTTTCTTTTCTATCATATTTTTTTCAAGTGGGGCTCCAGTTATGATCTTTTCATTCAGGAAACTTTAAGTATTACTCCTATGCAGTAACTCTAAGCTTTTGTTACTAGGGTTTTCTTTAGGATTTTTACATGACCAATAATTTGATTTTGTTATATAGTTATCTGGTTAATGTTTAGAGGTGGGTGGTGAATTAGAATCAATTCAGTATAGGAAGGCATGAATCTCTGGTGAGCTCCACAAATGTGGGTGAAGCCATAAAAGTTACGCCATGATGCTAGTTCAAGTTGCTTTTTATGACATTTAAATTTCGTGAAAATTATGTGGTTTTTGATTTGTTCCATGTTGGTCGTGGGGCAAACGCCAACTAATTGAGAATGGTGCTTTTGGAGTTCATTCACCAATTATGGTTGAAATTTTAAGTAACCTGGCTTTCTTAGTGGGAATGACAGACACCATTTGATAACACAAGGGTCATCGTCCAGCGGAAAATCATATAAAGCTGGATAAGGAATGCAAAAGAAGGATTTGCAATGGAAGTTGGAGAAATAGGTTCTGTTGGAATACACTGTGCATGAGTAGGCGCAAAGTTCCCTTTCGCAATGATCTAAGAAGTCAGTGACATTGACATCAACCATTTGGTTTGCTGGCTGAGAGGTGATAAGCAAGTTTGGATACATCCTTGTGCAAATTAAGCTGCTTATTGTTTAGAATTCTTTACCAAACCCAAGAGATCGCTGAATGACTTTTAAGAAATAGGTGGAAAGGATACTTTGCTAATCAGTCTTGCATGGTATTAACATGATCTTTCAGGTGACATGGGAAGACCAAATATTTCTTTGGTTGTGAGGTTCTTGAATATGTAGGCTACTTCCTATATGCTGTGGAAGATAACTAAGAGCTTTTAGAAAAGACGATTAGAACCCAAATTAGAAATTTTATATAAAAAAATGTCATAAAGCTTCAAGGGTGAAATTAAGAAAGCAATCATTGGACAAAGTCTTATCGAGTGTTAGACAGGGCGTTGTTTTGTTTTGTTACTGCTCCAAGGTTGATGTGTACTTTGTACTTTTATGAGGATATCTTCTGTGTCAGACTTGTCTTAAATTTGATACAAGTCTATCCCAAGCCTGATAAAAGGAGGTTGTGGTAGTTTGTTGCTGATATAAATATCGGATCTTATGAATGTGTTTTACTTGATATGAGGTAATCGAGCTTTGTAGCAAATGAGATACGAGATGATTAATTTAAATCAAACAAGGCTGTAGCAGTTGAGGGTCTTCAAAAAGTTTCTGGTTTTTGTTTTCACTATTTATTTATCCTTGGTGAAGATATCAAAGTCTTTTTTTAAAATTTCCTTTTTTATTATTTGTATATATGATACTTGTTAGGGCATGGAATTTGAATATGGTATCGATTAGCATGTTTAAATGGGATACCGTTGATGTTTCTGCCTTCCGCTTGTTTGGGTAGAAGTTATACTCACAAGTAATGTGTCAGTTTTCATTTGTTTATTTATCTATGCTGTTACAGCTTCTCAAAGGAGTTCATGGACACTCGACGTTTGGTAACACATGCATTTATGTCTCACAAAGTTGGTTTGAGGGCACAGCACTTGGGCCTTCTCAAAGCAGTTTGTGTTCTGTTGGGGTGGAGTACTGTTGTTCCCTCTGACACTGTCACATGGGTTCCCCATATCTTGCCCAAGGCAGAAGCTTTGGCTCAGAAGGAAGATTTGATTCTCTGGCCTCCAGTTATTATTGTCCACAATATTTCTATGTCAGACAACAATCCTCAAAATTGGAAGGTGGTTACCATTGAAGCGCTTGAGGCTTTTCTAAGAGGTGAGTGACTATGGTCTTAAAAATCCCAATGGTGAAAATTTCCAGATGTACTAAGGCTATCAAATGCTTGAGCATAAAGTTGATAGGAAAAGCATTAGAAAAATGAAGTGAAACTAGAAAAGAAGAATGAACTGTATCATGTTCTATCAGCTAAAATTGTTAGCATGTAGCATCTGAATCAGTGACAATATTCGGGTTATCATATCAAAATGCCTTTTGCGTTCGTAGATTTTTGAATTACTTGGAGCTAGGTTTACAATTATCTGATTTGAATCTTTTGGGTTCTCCTTGAAATGGCAGGTAAAGGTTTAATCAAAGGAAGAATCAAGATGTGCCTGGGGAAGCCTGCTGACCAGAGTATGTTGGTGGTGAAGTTCTTAGGAACTTTTACTGGACTGGGGGATGCAGAGAGAATTCATAAGCATTTTGCGGAGCATAAGCGTGGGAGAGTAGATTTTGAGCAAGCAACATCCTCCAGTGGAGAAATCAGAGAGTCAGGAATGCAGGGAGACAACGTGGAGGAGCAAATTCTATATGGGTATATGGGGATTGTGGAGGACTTGGATAAAGTAGATTTCCATACCAGGAACTGGACTGTGATAAAGAGCAAGAAGGAGATTCAGGACCTGGCCGATGCTCCTGTCAAACCTGATGAGAGGTAGCTCATAGCTGTGCACAAACACTAATTCAAGGAGGTTTAGTTGTACTTTCCTCAAAAGATACTCGAAAGAAAACAGAACAGAAAATATCATGCATAAGAACTGAAGTCACCTCTAGCTTTTATTATTAGTGCAAATACTCTCTATTCTGAACTCATGGAAAGCCTTATATTTTGCGCGTCATATAAGACGTGGTACCTTCCATTATATAAAAAAGCTAATTTACCGTTTATGTTGTAATTTGTAGTATGTTTGTAAAAGGCCAAGTTGGCTCAACTCCATTACTGAGGCTGCCTTTCCTGTGTTGGACTAGTTTCATGAATGAAATGCCGTTTGGATTCTATAAAAATAAACAATTTAAAAAATTTTCCTTTCATTATTTGAATGGAAGGAAATGCCAACTGAAAAGATCACAATCTAACACAAAAGTTTAAACACAACTATTAAAATGCGTGATGCTGCAGATGGATTTTTTATGATCCAAGGAGGTTTGCCTTTTGTTAAATTTTAATTTTGGTAATTTTGGTAATTTTGGTTTTGTTCTTGTGGAAGTAGATTATAGTTTTGTTTGTAACAGATGGGTGACGATTTCCACACTCCTATCTTCTGCACTTGCACACTCGTTTTTTTGTTTTTTGTTTTATGTTTTGATAAAAGATGAATGTAAGTGCCAACGAGATCTAGCTTAGTGGAAAAAGGCCTTTGACTAGTATATTAGTTATCTCAGGTTCGAATTCCAATGGCACCTTGGTAGTGCGTGTGTGCCTACCTCTTGTATTTTGGACTATCACTTGTATTAAGAAGAGAGAAAAAAAAAGTGTAGGCAATAAAAATAAGGGAAGTGCGAAGTGTGAGTGCAAAAAATGGCCTCCCTAAGATGCAAATTACACTATCTTTCAAACTGCAAATTCAGAATCGTTTATATATGAATCTGAAACATATACTCAAGCAAGAATAATCTTAATATATCGACAGTCTTGACAACAAAACATGCTTAAATTACCAGGTTGTTTAGCAAGCGATGCCAACATCCTTGTGTTCCTGATTTAATGTTAGAAAAGATTTAATGCATTTCTAACATTAAATTTGTACACGAAGGGTAAAACTGAAGGACTTATATATGAAAACATACAATGTTGGTTATAATTCAAGGTAACACTGAAAGACATGGGTATCCTTTCCTTGCAAGTCGGTTTTACCAAGGACAAGTAACACCCTAAACACACACATAAACTTCTGTGGTTGAATGTCTCTTTCAATGCCTCACAGAAAGATCCACTCCAAGGACATACTAACAAATGCCACACAGAAAGATCCACTCCAACATTGTCATCCTTTTTCTCTGGTGAAATTTGTGCCTTGTCGTGTGCTCAAAATGCGTCTGTTTTGACCACTAGCCTCTCAATAATGATATTTTTGGGAAGCCTAATCACTTCCATCCAGCAATGTGCTGCCTCTCTGATTTGTAAAGCAAATCTCACTTCCTTTTTCAACATATATCAGTATTTTCGAGAACAAATACAATTGGAGCTGTGAAAAATCTACAAAACTTTGACAGATAGTAAAACCAGTATGCTTCCTCATCTCCTTTGGAAGTTGAGATACTTGATGCCGTAGGCAAAGACGAACAGAACAGGAGCACGAAACCAATATGGGCAACAACAACAGCTCCAAGGAAGTCATATTCAAAGCCTAATCTTGTCTTAAGGTAAGTCTGCACTGACATGCGAGCTTGTCCTGGAACTTCAACTAATGAAGTTTTGTCTCCCACTTGGGAAGTCACAAGTCCATAGATTGTCCAAGCCACCGGAGAACCCCAGTAGTACCATCTCCACCATATTGGTATTTGCTGAAAAAATGAGCAAGTATAAAATGCCATAATTTGTTTTTAAATAACTACTTAAAGTCATTAAATGGGGAGGCTGTCATCCTTTCTCTTCTCTAAAATCATTTGCTCCATAAAACATGAGGAATATTATCATGCCACTATATAGACTTATGACTCTAATCATTAGCTCCATCAAAGTTAGATCTGATTCTAATCATGGCAGCTTTCCTAAAGACCAATTTAGTCAGAGGCTTGCTAGTGCTGAGTTTTAAGTCAAACAAAAATGATTAGAATTGTTGTATATGATTGCTTTGTAATGAGAAAATCTTCTTAACATGTTAATCTCTTGTTAATCTGTGGACTAGTTAACTCAAAGATTTGCAATTCATAGTTTGTATGTGTGCCTACGGAATACAGATACTTACCGTCCTAGGGATGAGGAAACCAGAGAAGAGGTTCCAGAAGCTTAGGAAAAAGGACATCACAATGGCTGCAATTTGGTGGCCTGGAGTGAGAGCTACAAGCATCATGCCATACAATGTGAAGTAGATAAAGCACATCAATATGAAGTAGTAGAACCAAAAAAACTTGTCAACTCTCCAAGGGAAGCCGATCATTGAATAAAGGATGAGACTATACACCAGAGTTTGGACGGCAACGTAAATTGTCTCAATTGCCACCTGCAGGGCATAAGATTTTTAATATACTGAGATATGCAGACTTGGCTCTATGACAAAAGTTGTTGCTTTGAATTTACTCTTGCATCATATTTTCCTACTCGGCTTAATATAAAGGTTTCGGCTTGTTTTACCTGGGCAAATGCATAAGGCAATGCAGAGTACATCCCTGCTGCTCTTTCGCGGTAGAATACTGTTCTTTCAATTGCCACAACAGGCTGCACTGAGGCAGTGTTGGTGGCTCCCAGGAAGATAATGGCAGAATACATGGCTCCCATCAGATTGAGTAGGTCTTGTTCCTTGTGTCTATTAAGAAAAAATTTTCCAATAAACTTTAGAAACATGTAACAGTACAAAATCAAAGATTAGTGTACTTGATTGTAGAGGCTGGTAAGATGAACAGAGGTGCATGACATGATTTCCTAATGAGATAGATAGAACTTATAATTGTTTCTATGCAGAGTTCTATGGTGTAACAAGATAATGAGGTTAATAGCTTTTCTTATTTTCTCACCTTTTCCTTTTTTTCTTTCAGTCATGCAATATCAACCAGTAAAAATTCAGAATAATGCGCCAGCAAGTGAGGCTATGCCAATTAGGGTTGCATGCTTAATCCTATTACGGATAAGTAAGCCGTGACCATCATGCTTATTTTAATAAAATATCTTGACAAGAGCAGAAAATAAGAGACCTTATGACTTACGTTTTTTCTCCTTTGTTCCAGAAAATAAGTCCGAAAACAGTACCGACAACTATGCTCAAAAAGAGCCGGATGGCATTGTACGGCGGGTTCCTCCAGTATGACCAATGTTGTTTCCAGAAGCAAGCTTTGCATTGAGTAAGAAAAGACTGAGAGTATTTAGTGGGGAAGTGAAGGTCTTTGGATCCTGGGACTTGAGTGCTTAGTTCTTCAATAAGTTCGTGATTCTTCCTGGGAAGGAGGAAGCAAATGATATAAACTTTGAGTTAGCCTATTACTGAAGAATGATTAGCTCTAAATGCAGCACAATGATGCAAGTGACGATTAAGGGCCTAAATGTCCCACTTACTTATAAAGTTCAGACTTCTGATATATATCAGCAAAGTCCACATTGAGTTGTGTCTCAACTGTAGGAGAACTAATTTCCAGCATCCATGTTGCAGGATTGTAACCATCTCTGATCTTAGTAATTCCTGGAATAGCCTGCGGGAGGTTAAAGAAATTTGTTTGACATTTTGTTTGACTGAAAGTACTGGGAATTATAACACATCAGTTTCTAATGACCATTTAACAAGTGATACTCACTTCAAAATATTCTATCAGCCTTTGAGAACAGCGGCCAAGGGGTCCGGCATAAATAACTTGTCCACCTCTCTTCATCAGAAGTAGCTGTGAGAAAAATGATCAAAGTGAATTAAAGTAAATGGCTAACAACAATTACAAATAGAAGATTTTGTTACGAATTTCTGACTATGAGAAATGACAGATACCTCATCAAAGGCTTCAAAAATGTCTATGCTTGGCTGATGAATAGTGCAGACAAGAGTCCTCCCTGTATTCACAGTATTTCTCACTGTACGCATGACGATTGCAGCAGCCCTTGCATCAAGACCTGATGTTGGCTCATCCATGAAGATTATAGAGGGATTTGCAACCAACTCTACAGCTACGGTTAATCTCTTTCTCTGTTCTGTTGACAGACCATTTATTCCAGGAAGGCCTACTAAGGAATTCCTCAGTGGCTGTAGCTCAACCAAATCCATGACTTCCTCCACAAACATCTAGATATCAGAAGAGAGAAAAAGTATGATAAATACAACATGACAAATCCATGACTTGTTGATATAGCAACAACTAAACTGAACACAATCAGTATTTATGAGGCAATCCCTATATCCCTATATATCTGTGTGTGTAACACTTTATGGGAGACCCAAGACTGCATTTGGTACAGACACTTAAAAAAAAATAAAAAAATAAAAAATAAAAAAGTAAAGTTTGTGTCAAAAGATGATGCCTGTCGTGTTTCCTTTGTAATATCCTTAGCAAGGCGCATCCAGGCAGAGTACTGAAGAGATTCATAAACAGTTACATTTGGAGAATGGATATCATTTTGTTCACAATAACCGCTAACTCGGGCAAAAGTTGCTTGGTTCTTTGGGTAACCAGAAATGCTGATACTTCCTTCAATATAACCACTAGTTTTCCTTCCTGCTAGCACATCCATTAAGGTAGTCTTTCCTGCACCACTTACACCAACCAATGCTGTTAGAATTCCAGGCCTAAAAGCACCACTAACATCTCGTAACAATTGGAGGCGATCCTCTTCAATTCCTTGGCTCTTCATTTCCTGATGGATAACTCAAAACTTTCAGCATTTATTTCGGCAAATGACCACACATTGAAAATATCCTTCATTTGAGTTTTTTTATTTATTTTTATTTATTTTTTATAACTTTTATAAAGTTCATACAACATACTTCCATCTACAGCTTATACAAACAAAAACAGAGATTTGGAAATTAATCAATTTTGGTTACAGTGCATTGCTAAGTTAAAAGGGTAGTTGTCTGGCTCCCATTTGTCAGTGTTTTCAAGTATATATTTATTAAATCACTTTAGTTGTTTTCTTTAAAAGCAAGGAGCTTTAAAATTTTATCATATGGTAATGCTGCATGTTGTATAAGGACACATAGAGGACTTACAGCAGGCATATCAACATAGTAGTTCACATGATCAAATGCAAGTGATAAAGGCTGAAAGTGCAGGACCATTCCTCGTTTCTTAGGTTTCTTCACGGCCATATCGATACCTGTTATTCACATAGTATCATCATTAGCAAGCTTCCTTTACCTCCTTCTTAAAAGCAATATTTGCAGTATGTACAACTCTAGGTCTTGAACCTTCCGACAATGGGGCAGTGGATGCTGAACTCATTTCTGTGCCTCCCATTATATCTAACATTGACTGGTTTTACTTCTATGCTTGTCATCATCCTCCAGAATAATGGATTTAGAATCTCCGAAAGCTACATATAGTTTTGAAAGCATTATTGGACTCAAAATCTTAATCACATAACTGAAATAATGATTATTATGAGAAATTATAGCTTACGGTTCAGATAATTCAGTGCTGCAATAAACAAGATGTTGAAAAGCAGTGAAAAGCCAAGGAGTGCCCCTATGCATATCCAATACCAGTATTCTTCTGTAAACATGCCTCTGGTCTTTAGAAGAGCCTTTCCAACTGTAGGTTCAGAGATTCTTGGGTCAATATTGGGCTGTAACAGAGAAAACGTATTCTGTCAGTCAAATTATAAGAATAGCTGTGGCCTCCAAAGAGAGCCTCCTCTGCAAACCACCTAAAAAGAAAAGCTTTCAAAGGAAAAAAATTGATAGACAATATGAAGGAGATCTTACTGCACTCCATCTTTTGTCAAGAAATTCATTGATGACAATTGCATTTTGTCCATACATCATGGGAGAAATATAGTAGCCCCATATCATCCATGGTTCAATGTCATCTGCACGAAAGGACTAATTAAATTCTTACATCTCCTTCAAAGTAAAATGGATAACAAGTTAGGAATGTGTGGGATTGTAGCTGCTTGAGTCATTAACTGTATAGATAGCACAAAGACTAAAACAATGAACCTTTGGCAACAATGAATCCACCAAGGACAAAAACCAATAGCAGCGTGAAGGTGCCAAGTGTGCTTGCAACTATTTGTGTTCTTCCAAGAGCTGCAATGAAACGGAACAGAGATAGGGCCATCTGATGCACACTGAATAACGCCAATAGCTGGCGGAAAAACCTGTGCAAGTTTGAAATGTGCTACTGATCATAATTTAAAGAATTTGTTATCACTTGTAGGTGTTATCAACAGAATTCTATGCACATGATGGTTACACATTCAGGCACATACCTACTAGCTGCAGGAGCAAAACCGATAGTGTAATACGTGAGTATGATCCATATTCCTGATTCTATCAATGATACAGGAATCCTGAGAACCGAAATTGGTAAGCAGAAAGCCCATGCTGGATGTAACAAGAGATCTCTCTGTTTGAAAAATACAGGAAGCCTGAATATAGTCATTGCAAGCTCTGTCATCCCATTGAACATTACATTTATGAGACTGAAAAATAGTGCACCATAAAATTTCCCACCATCTTCTAATCTGCCGTGCTTCATTTCTGTTCTCCAAAATACGGTCATGGAAATTATTGACATGATTGTGATCTGTGTTGTCTTGAATACATATAGAGGGGAGTTGCGCTTCATCAATAGCCACTCTCTTGCAAAGCATGCCTTGAAGAGTTCCCAGTTTGAGATCCCATACATTTTTTTCGATAATGCTGCAGGATGAGTTTTAGATCTGTCATAGGGATTTCCAAGTTCTTCAGACAGGTTTTGGCCAATGTGGAAGTTTTTGAAATAATCCGAAAATTCCAATGCACTAATATATCGGTATGGTTCGTTCTTTTTAAACCAGTATTGTTCTTGGTCCTTTCTAGAAATAACCTCTTGCAGGAAGTCTGCCACTCCTTTCCTTTCTGGACATTTGAAACCTACACTCTCAAAAAATTCTAGTGCATTCTCTCGTGGACCTTGGTAGACAATATGACCCTCCGAAACTAAGATAATGTTATCAAAGAGTTCAAAGGTTTCAGGTGCAGGTTGCAAAAGAGAAATTATCATGGTGACATCCATTATATGAACCATCTGCCTCATAAACTGGATGATTTGGAACGTGGTTGAACTGTCTAAACCAGTAGATATTTCATCCATGAAAAAAGCTTTTGCTGGTCCAACCAGCATTTCTCCTGCATTCATCAGGACCAAGTTCTTATCAGGAATGAGCATTTTGTTAATAGAAAAGTTTCATGGTGGCATAGTTAACTAATAGAACTATGTCAGATAAGTATTTTTCTCTTGCTTTTTGAGTATTTTATACACACCTGTAGTAAGACGCTTCTTTTGTCCACCAGATATGCCCCTTCTCATCTCATCACCCACTAAAACATCAGCACATATATCTAATCCAAGTATCTGTTACAGTTTTTTAATTAGTTACAGTTGTAAGACTTGGTGTGTAGTTAGTTGGAAAATAAATAACCAACAAGAATGCAACAAACCTTCAGAACATAGTCTGTTACTAAACTGGTTTCTTGTCCTGCCAGAGCTGTGGCTTTCATGAAGGCATCTATCTCAGGATCCGGTGTGATTCCTGATTCTTTTTCTCGTCTAGATAATTCTGCCAGTAGCTCGTATCTGGTTCCAACCCCCAAGCATCTTCCTGAAAAATTCAATGCTTCTCTGACTGTCATCTCACCATGGTGCAGATCATGCTGGCTGATATAAGCGCATGTTCTTTGAGGAACAAACTCTGAAAATTCATGACCACAGTAAGTGACTCTTCCGGATACCTGTTATGAATTTTATCAGTGTCCAATCAGAATTTCAAGATTTACAGAAATAGTTTGAGCAATCTTCTTGAAAAGAGTTTCTAAGGCTGATAGCAATTTCCAGATCTGCGATTACAATTTTTATGAACGGTCAACCTTTCAAAGAAACAAATGGAAAATGTATTAAATAAGATGACATTGGAGTTAACAAAAATCATTAACATTTTAGTAACATCTTAGCATCTGCTACATGTTGCATGATGAACAATTGGACTGAGGGTGAATGAAGCTTAACATGACATGACATCAATATTTGAAAGGCATTGTTAGTGTTCAAAAGAAGGAGATGCCGAACCCTTAGATCATTATCCGTCTTGCCAGCAAGTGCTTGAAGAAATGTTGTCTTCCCTGATCCCGGAGGTCCCAGAAGCAGAGTCATTCTGGAAAATGCTAACAAATCAGTGAAATGCATACTCAATCCATCTAGTACTTCATTTTAAATCAGAATCACAACAGAAAAGTTATCCTATTAGAGAACATATGGGTTTCTGATTGACAATGTGTGTCTAGGAATCACTGAACAACCAAATTCAACTTGTAAACTGGGAAAATAAACAACATGAGAAATCATGTGCATGCTTGCTTCATAAAATTAATTAGACATTACCTTGATGGCTTAACTATTCCACTCATGTCACGAAGTATCTTGACTACTCTTTTCTTTGACGGGAATAGCTTAACAAATCCAAGAATTCCCTGTTCACATGAAAAACAAAATTGAAAAGAAGAATAAGTGTAAACAAAAGTCATCCATCAGTAGACACATACATACATTAGGTTGAAGCCTTATCTCCTTTGGAAGTATGAACTTTTACTATCATCCTAGAGGCTGCTTATTTCATTTGATATTATTGAATATGATCAAACTGCCCTTTACAGATCGAAGAGCGTCGACATTGAAGCATGAAACTATGTACTGCTCTATCCTATCACATTTGATTAAAGAAAATAAAAATAAAAATCCTGGGTTTACTGTCCTACAGAGAAAGGGGGAAACAAGAATTACCCTCTATTTTGTACTAGAAAAGAAATCCAGTCATAGAAATCCAGTCATAGTAAATTCAAATGAAACAGTACAGAAAAGCAGAAAACAGAACAAAGTACTTCTATGGTGTTCCTGTAGGAATTCAGCAGAGTGGGAAGTGCTCTGGTTCCAATATATGCATCCCCTTCTACTGATAAATGCTCGAACCGGACTTCAATCTGTGGAATCTCAATCCCAACCCTGTTAATACAAAATCAAATATTAATTGTAAAATCACCATATAAAAATACTTACCACCACAAAATATTTGAAAAAACAAACAAATAATAATATCACCTATCAGTCCTTTCTCTAAGCCTTAGAAGAAATTTCTCATTGTCCTCTTCAGCGACCTTGAGAATATATTCCATGAGATGCTTCTTGTCCACCCTCCCAAGATTGGTAACATCAATCTCTTCATAACCAACTTTTCCATCATCCAAAACCTGCTTAAGCATTCCTTTTCTTAATCTATCAAACGTAGGAAGCCTCTCTATTGCAGCCCACTTCAACTCCTCCTCATCATCATATGCTAACCTCCCACTGCGCTGAAACACATCCCCCTGCCCACTCCACAGTTCTCTGAAACTCGTCGAAGCCCAACTTCTCTTGCTCAATGATCCATGAGTCCTCCTCCCACTGCTCACTGACCCCACAAGCTCATCTCCGGCCAATGCAGCCGCCATCTTTGATTCTTTATCACCCTTTTTAAAATTATATATTTTTCTTCACACAAGCATACTTCAAATCAAAAAGTTGAGGTGAAACTAGACAAGGAAACAAATTCAAAAGAAACCCAACAAGTATTAGTTAGTAACAAATTTAAAAAAAGCATGAAAATCTTGGAAGCAGCAAGTTCCAGAGGAATGTTGTGTCAAGAAAAGTTGCTGGTGGTTTTCTTCTGCATGGCTTGGTTTGGAGGAGTCTGAGGAGACATGGTTAACTTATGAGATATATGAGTCAGGAGGATATGGTGGTGCTGACAGAGATGAGTGAGTATTTAGTATCTACAGAGTTTGGGGACAGTTGAAATCCAAATCCTTGGACATTTTTTTCACCATTTTAGCAAGATTCTATTTTCAAGACGTGGTTTTTCTCTAGGATCTGTGACTGCATAATAAGGACAAAGTAGATATTATATATGTAACTTGAGGTGGATATTTAGCTTTCTTATTACTTCTTTTGTTCCTTCCTACAATAAGTTGTCTTCAAAGAATTATGGAAGAGAGGAAGAATCCCAGTGACCTATTTCCAACTCTATATGGCCAGTGGCCCTCCCAAGGCAACATAAATGTTTTGTTTATTTACTTTTTCATATTTCGTAAGAAAAACACTAATTTTATTTTTTTAGATCAACAGAAGGGAATATTTGAATTTGGGACATTTTCTATTTTGAGAAGAGAAATATCACTAGATTAGCCGTACTTAAATAGTTGATTTTGACATGAGCCATTGCTGACCATTTAGTTTACTAAGTATCTAGTCTTTAGACTCTCCACTTTATTAGAGGAGATCCTTTTTAATTTTAATATATAAGCGATATTGGATAGAAAGAATCGAATACTTTGACATTTTATGATAAATTATCATACATTTAGCTCTTGATAAATATTTTATTTATTAGAAATCATGTAACCAATTGACTTAAAAGAAGAGGTCCAATTGTGAAGGACCCACTAGTGTAGTGATTTGGAGCAACTGCCCCTAGAAAAGACTTGAGTTTAAGTCCTAGCATTCGTGTAGTGTGTATGAGTTAATTAGTAGCTCCTCTCAATAATATATATATATATATATATATATATTTTATTTTATTTTAAAAGTGTTAAAAAAGAAGAGGTCCAAGCAGGGGCGGATGCACGTTGGGACAAGAAGGGTCGCACGACCCCTTGGAATGCTGGAAATTTGGCTGTGGACTCCATGAACAACCCCTTGTGTGCACACTAAGTGCTCGACGAAAGTCCCAGCCCATTTGCTTACTCTACTCCGCAGCTGCGCTTTGCATCATTTTAAAATGAGCCTTGCCAAACGACGTCGTTTGGTCCAAGGCTCAATCAAATTTTTTTTTAATTGACCTAACCTCAAAATGACGTCGTTTTTGGCCATGTTTTTAACATTTAAATTTTTTTAATTTTTTTAAAAAAACACATAAGCACTTACCCAACTCTGCACAGCACCTCCAAACCCTTTTTATTCCCAATTTCACATCTCTTCCCAACCTCCAACAACCTCCATCACAACTCTTTGCCGGTGGCCCGGTGCCAACCACCACCATGTTATGCCGCCGTCTGCCGCCCTCTTTTTCAACTACAAAGTAAGCAAAATTTATTTTTATAAATTCATAGTGATGATATATATTGTTGATATTGATATTTTTTTTATGGAATGAAATTTATGGATATGAGAATGTAGATTGATTGAGTTTATGCTTGATTGATAATGTGGATTGATTAAGTATATTGAATATTGATTGATATTTGATATGATAATTTGGTATATTGAATACTAATTGATATTTGATATGATAATTTGGTATATTGAATATTGATTGAAATGATAATTTGGTATATTGAATGTTGATAGTGGGTTATTGACATTTTCATATTCATATGATAATTTGGATAAAAATTAATGATTGATTGAATTAATTGATGTGTTGATTTATGGAACGATTTTTTAAAAGAAAATTATCTACGAATAGTCCTTCTCCGCTGGGTAGTTCAAATGCAAGACCAATTGAAGTAGATGAGATATTGGCTAATCTTCAGGCAAACTCTGGACTAAGAACTCGAATGACGGATTATAATCCTAATATTCAATATGAGATCCGAAGAGCATATTTACAAAAAAGACCTTGTCAACCTAAAAGTTATAAATTCCCACAAACTAATCAATCAGGAATTAATAAACGCTTGCATTGCTCAATGGTTTGATGAGTTTGATTGGTTGGAATATAGTATAGCTAAAGATGTTGCATTTTGTCTTCATTGTTATCTCTTTAAACCTAATTTTGATCAAGTGGGTGGTGATGTATTCACTAGGGTAGGCTTTAATAATTAGAAGAAGGGGAAAGAAAGATTTAACCTTGATGTGGGACCGGTTGGTAGTGTTCACAACCAAGCTAGAGAAGTCGCTTTCAATTTGATGCATCAAACTACACACATTGAAACAATTGTGATCAAGCAAACAAATTGAGCTCGCACAACTTATCGCACTTACTTGAATGCATCACTCAAGATTTTGACAAACGAAAGCCAATTCATCTTACTCAATTTTATCCTCAAGATTTTTCAAATCGAGACTTATGGATGCTTAAAGATCAACTTGGTGTTTATCTTCATCATATGCATTCGAGTAGTGATTTTTCTCAATTGGAAGGGATAGTCTTGCGGAAAAAATGGTGGAGAAAGGAATGAATGAAATATTTCCTTATGTGTATTTGCTTCTTACATTGGCTTTGGTTTTACCTGTTGCAACTGTCATGGATATTATTAAAAATTCATTTCGCAACAGAATGGGAGATCAATGGTTAAATGATAACTTGATTGTTTACATTGAAAGAGATGTTTTTGCTTGTATTGATAACGAAACTATAATGCAACGTTTTCAAAATATGAAAACTCGTCGTTGACAATTGTAACTTGTATTATTGGTTTGTTTTTGAATTATGAATAGAAATACTATTTTTCTATCTTTTAGTATTATTTTCTTTGTAGAAAAATTTCAGAACTTTTACACTGTGACTCCTTGGCCACATATTCCTGGATCCGCCACTGGGTCCAAGATGGTTTAACTTGACTATCCTTTGAAACTTAGTGCCAATTGGCGGGCGGTGATAAGTTCTTAAACCTTAAAATAGTTTAGGTTGAAAGTATCGGTCCTAAATACTGACTCCTAAACCTTGACTTGACACCTTTATTGAGCTCTACTCTCTCAATGGTGTGTCGTTTCTCTGTTACATCTCATCAAACGGCACCACTAGTTACTTTTACTTTCCTTTTTCTCCGCAGCCTCTTTTCCAAAACTTTTGAAAAGTTTGCTAGAATAACCATTCAGAATTGAAGTTCGAGTGGTTGAATATTTAATTGGGAGACTTTGGAAAAACACAAAGGAGAGAGAAATTTTGTAAAAGAAGCTAAAATGGACAAAATTGCCCTTATTTATTTTTGGATTTCCTAAGAAATCATTTACATTTGCATGTCTTTGATTTGAAAGTTGAGAGGTTTTTCTGTCTTTTTTGAAAAAATTTTGGCTTTTTCCAAAAGTGAAAAATTAGGTGCAAATAAAATTACCAGGATTTAAGACACCAGAAACTCTGGCAGGTTGTTATAATAAAAAATAAATATTTACAAAAAAAAAACCGAAGAAGAAAGAAAACCAATAATTATTTCGCCCACATGGATATTGTCGGTCGGTTTTAGACTAAAACCTGAAAGCAACCAGTATAAACGGTGCCAAAAACCATTAATAAAATTTAAAGTTTGCCCCACTCTCTCACCTTTTCATTTATGAGCCTCCCCTTTCCCAGAAAATTCAACAACACTTGAGTTTTTAGTACTTCCTCGCACTCTCCTGTCAATTCTCGACATTAAATTTGGCTCAATATTTGTACGTGGTGAGTATATTTTAAATTTAAAAAAAAAAAACTAAAACTAATTTGGCCTTTGTGCCTTTAATCAATGCCTTCAACAAGTTTGGATTTGATTGCCCTGACAATTACATATCATCTATTTTTGCATTCAATACAGAAGCCGACCCCGAGAAGATTTTTTCTTTAAACAATTTGGATTTTCCAATTCGGACGCATCTTTTCTTATTTGCGACCTATAATAATTAGTTTTTTTGACTAAACTCGATGACTAGGATCCAGATGAATACGCTTGACGTGTCTGATTTTACGTTTTTAGATTCCTAAACGCCCCAAATATTTGTTAGACTTTTCTACTTGTATCTTTTCCATGTATTGTTTTTATAAAAAAAATAGGATATTTCATTATAAAAAAATAGGTGGAGGTCCATATACGAATTCCTTTCGAAGTAGGCAACATTGCCTACTTGGGGGGGAGTACGTATTGAGATTCCTATTACGTTGAAGACGAAAGATACTGACGTGTAGTCCCTTGCATGCTCACTTAAATTAAAGATGCTCACCTACATATGAGGACAGGCAAAATGAGAGGAAAAGGCCTTTACATAGACACGGGCATCCATATTGGGCTAGAGCTCGGCCTAATCCAACAGATTGTCTAATTAATCCCACAAATTGTATCATACTTAAAAAAAACTCATAAGATATTAATGATTAGGGAACAAGCTGCAACATTTTTCAGGATAAGATACTATACCCACTGCACAATACCAATATAAATTTTTGGTTTTTTTAATGAAGAAAAGTTTAGGGAGAGATTGACTACTCTCACCATCAACGCAAGACAGATTCACAACCTCGAGCTAGAAGAATTTACGCTTGGAATACCAATATAACTTTAGATACAAAACCAACTAGTTTTTAATCCCAGTCATAAAAGATGTCTTAAATCCAAATCAATTCTCCATCAGTAATGATAAAAAAATAATAATAATAATAAAAACAACATAAATTTGCATCCTCAATGCAAGTTAGGAGTTTTTATGGTTGGCCTAAATTTCGCACCCAACTTTCATTAATATTAATTTTATAATATATATTTAAATAGACCTAAATACCTTCAAAATTAAAACCCAATTACATATAAAAGCCAAAAACCCTGCACCCAGTTTTCACTTTTTGGCAATTTGAAGTTTTCTGTAGTTGTCATCTCACTTATGAAATTTCAATTTTAAAGTGAAAGCCAAATTAATTCTATTTCAGACAACCCCTTCCCTCTCAATTACCAACCAGCACTTACCACTCACCACCATCTCTCTGACTTAACTCTCCCTCTCTCTGTACTCTACTTGTATTTCTCCAGCTTTTGTATGAAACACCAATGAAAAAATAAATGAAATTTGGTCCGCTATTGTATCATTTCTTTTTCTTTAGTCCATTTAAATCACCTTTTAAGGGTATTTAAGTAGTTTTCTTTACACCAAGAAAAGGGTATTTAAGTAGTTTTCTTTACACCAAGAAAAGAGAATTGACTTGCAGACCAGAAGTTACACTATCGCTTTAAACTAATAGTTTTCTTACAATATCTAAACTATTTTTATATTAAAAAATTAAAAAAATAAACACCTATGAAATTAGAGACAATTTAGGCTATAAACGATATATGCATATCTGATGTGGCATGTGGCACATGGCACAATCTTGACCATTGAATATATATCTACAGAGTCAGAATCGACGTCTGGTGGTCCAGAAGAAGATGAGTACCTGGTGATAAATTTTGCAAAACACTAAGTTGGCATCATGTAAACAATATCTTTAAGAACACCAAAACATAAGGTTAATATTGTCTGTACTTTCACCCTTTTTCATTCTTTTTTTCTACCAAGAAAATCGACTAGTTCGACTTGTACACTATTGATAATTTGGTGTGAGGTTATAATAATACAAATGTACATCCAATCAAAACCTATACAAAATTATAGTACTTAATCCAAGACCTGTCTTCCAAAGGCTTCAAAAACAGCCATGGGGCATCAAGGCTGCACTCGCTCCTGTAATTTAAATTGGTTATTCGAATTTCCAATGGTCATCAGGATTCAGGAATTCCTAACTGGTCAATCAAGTACATAAGCGGCGGCAGCATCTGGCGATCCGAGAACTTGAGCGGCCTCAGCAATTCTGAAGGCCATTGTGGCTTTGTAAGTTACCAAATCTGCATTCTGCATGAGCAACTGAGCCCTTTTTCGTTTGCGAATTGCTAATTCCACAGATCTGTCTGCCTCGGCTTTCGCTTCTTCAACTTTATGTATGGCATTCTGCTCTTGCAATGCATCTTGTTCAGCAGCCATAGCTGTACACCAAGAAAGTTCACATATTTAGTTCTCTTTTAACAGAAAAGCCACACCAAGAAATGAGATCTTTTACAGGAAACACAACAAATACATTTTGCAGTGTCAAAAATGGTTACTGGAAAAATTTAAGATTCAACCATGCATATACAGCTCACAGAACATCAAGAAATATTAGAGGGAGTAATAAAATCCATAAAATTGCTCGTTTTGTCCACCTGCTTTTTCACAAAAATATAGGAAAATCATTTTGCTTGATTCACTGACCAATATTAGAAAACACCGACATCCAAATCATTTTTCCATGTTTAAAATATATATATACACAGCAGCACCCCTCTTTCTTCCTCAAAGTGTGCTGCCCTATCGCCAGCACCATTTCATTTTATTTTTATTCTTTTAAATGTTGGTCCTTATATGTAGAGTTGTATGGGAGAAGATAAAACTGAACTTTAAAAAAGGGAGGCACGATCAACATTATGATGGATTGTGATAGCAAAACTCAACACTTCATCCCATCTGCAATCAGTTCAATCTGCCAATGTCAAATACTTAACCTGGGCATTCGGTCTAGAACAACCCAAATGCCAATAAAACATCAAGGAAAAAGACAACTGACCCAAGCACAGAAAAAATTATGCAGGTACCAATAAGATGTGCCCTGATATACCATGTTTGATGCAGGTATTGGGCTGCTGCTGGATTACTAAAAATTCAAATGTCAATGCCACAACATACGCTACCATGTAGACTTGTATTTTTCAAAAAAAAAAATTGTGAAACTCATTGTACAACTAGGATTTCATGATAAAATATTGAAAAAGTACCTTGCAAGAAACTTGGTTGTTTTCCTCTACCAAATTGACTTGGCTGTCGTTTGAATGATCTTCTCTTGCGCAAAACAGGCTTTGGGTCCAGCAGAGCTCTCTTCGATTGATGCCCCTGTTAGAAAGGGTCATTAATGCGTCCAGATAACCAAATTATTAGAACTTAAATATGCAAATCGCATTTGCAATGAGATTTCTTCCAGAAAAAGAAAAAATTCATCCACAAGTTTCAGAGAGTGGTTCAACTTCCTAGAGAGTACTGAGCATAGCACCGAGTGAAAGTGAAATTTTGATGGAACATGTGCTGCCTTTCTTACTATATTTACTGGTTCCAGATCTTATTGTCAAATTTAGGTGCACTCGACCAGGGGAAAAAAAAAGGGAGATAAGGAGTTGTATACCAAAAAAATTTAATAATATGTACGAAAAAAAAATTTCCTTTCAAAAGCTAAAACTCGGTGCTATACATGTAGACCACTGAATATCAGGAAGGCTAGGGACAGTTCATTCAAATATAATTCCGTGGATTTAAAAATTGAGATCCATAGATTCACCAAAAAAAAAAACCAAAGATCACTGCCAGTCCACCAGAACTGCATTGCAACAATCTCACTACTGGCAAAAGGCATAAAGAATAAAAACAAATTGCATACTGAAATTCAACAATGGCAATTCATTCAATGGGCAGTACATATCATCAATAGAGAGAGAGGAGGACAGGGGCTGAACTACTCATCATTGAAAAGAATGGTGATAAATTTCAATTATACAACAATCATCAAATAAATTTATCTACAAAAATAAATCAGAACAATTACAAACACAAATTAGTAATTTTGATTGAAATAATCTTATAAATATTCCCTATCTAACAAAGAAACAAGTCAACCAAAATTTTCCCGAGGCATTAAGAATCTCATCATATATACATTAAATAACTTGACATAGATGTATTGCCAATATACAACATGATATCTGAAGCAAAATGTCACTAGTACCTGGAATACCCTAAGCAGTGATGATGACCTTTTCTGCTTCCGTTTATTCATCCAATAACTATATATAGCCTCTACTACTTCCCTCCTCCCCATATCCAGACAAAGATTAGCAGCTGCATTCTCATCAGAGAAATCATACGGTCTACAATAAAATGCCTTCTCAAACGCATCAACCATTAATTCAAAATTATCCTCTGAAACATGGTCATGAAGTTCATTCTCCGCAAAGAAGTCACTGTTGAACTTCTTCAGCCACTCCTCATCATCAGAGTCCATGTCATAATTCGCAGTCCTCTTTGCCATGGCTCTAGACACCTCATCATCATTCAGATAAATGTATGATTCTGGTCTGTCAAACGGAGTACTGTGGCTATCCGCATAACCTGGGACTTCACGCACCCCAGGCACGGGGATGAACTTAATAGCTGGAGCTGGTACAACACGATCAGAACACTCCTTGTAAAGATCCTTAAAATAGACCAGTCACATCGATTGGGAAACTCTAGCTTCCAATTATTATCACCATTACTATCTGCAGACCATATTACAGCCTGTGTTACACGGTTTTTTGAGCAGGGCCTCATTACTTTCTCTGCCTTGTGAGTGTATCGGGTTAATCCATTTTTCTTGACCACAAGAAGCCACTCTCCAGATGATGACATTTCTAACATGACAGTTGCCCCATCTTCTCTATAACATTTGTCTAATTCAGTGACCAATATATTCGCTGAGCAGCATGTCGAATCTAAATCCCGTCTTGATCCCTCCATGGTCAAACTCTCTGCTTTCAAGTTTCCTGCAGGAGAAAATGAAACTGACTTCCTAAGCACATGCTTAGATTCTACAGAAGAAAAAGGGAGGCCATTCTTCCTAATACTGATTAACTCAGAAACTAGGGCTCCATTGGGTTTGCGTAGGGAAACCAGTGAAGGATTTCTAGACCGTCTTCTCCTCAATGAACTCCGCCGCTTCTGAATACCTCGCGAGGTTAAACCATTCCTATACTGGGTGCTTCTACAAGCTAATTTGGGAACTCTTACACTCGAATGCAACGCATGCCTGTTCTCAATCCAATCAACTTTTTCACCATCACAATCATCATCATCATCTCCCTGATCAATAAATTCGCCATTTTCACGCCCATCAATCAGATTATTTACAGTTAGATGACAACGGAATCTAAGATGCATGCTGGTATGCATGAACATAAAACATCCAGGAACTGCAGAAAAGTCCACAGAAAACAATGGGATAAACTGCTCGGCCCCAAAAAGTTTGCAAACCCCAGACCTCCTAGTACAAGAACGATCCTGAAACAAGGTTTAACAAATTAAAAATAAATCAAACTCATGACCAAATAGAAAAGCAACATCATATTCACAAACCACAAAAGGACACCTTTTTGCAATCAAATTCCCATTACATTGACATGTATCAAATGTAATGGACAACCACCACTTACCAGCGAGAACTGAATGCCATAGGAGGCAAAAATGCTGCCAATCGGCTCTAAAGCAAGAAATTCAGAAAATTCAGTCAACCCAAGACTGGCCCTCGTCATGTACACCAAAACAGAATACAAAAACCGACCAGCCCAGTGACCCTGAGCCCATGAAGACTCCACCGAAAAGCGAAGCACTTCTGGGCACACAAAACCCAGATGGGAATCCAACTCCTTACTCTTCTTCATCCTCTGCCTCCGAGCAAACCTCCGCCCATACATTCTATCATCAGATCCACTTTCCTTCTCTACATTCCCTGTAAAACTTGCACTGGCACGCTTCCTCTTTCGGGTATACACAATCCCATACCTCTTATGCTCTTTGAGCCCGTCAGCCAAAAGCTCATTGCTTTGAGGCTTCTTGACCACTGAGGTCTTCAAAACAGGGGTGTTTCGTCTTGGACTACCGACTTGGTTGGCCCCAGCCCATTTCTTGTGATTTAATCCAACAACAGAGTCTCCGGCATGGCTTTTCATGAGTTTGAGCCAGTCCTCGTCGCCATTTCGGGCCCTCTCGAGCTTGGACTCAGAGGATTCGGGCCAGAGGCGGCGCCCGGAACGCAGGACGCGAGCCCCATCGACCCCACCCTTCACCATCCCCATCCCGAAAACCCTGGTCGTCCGTCTCATCTCCACCGATGGCATTTCCGTGCTCAGATTCCGAAGCAACACCACTCCGGACCTCCTCCTGCTTCTCCTCCTTGACTCAATGAGTCGCCGAGTCGATCTCCGAGTCGACTCAGTCGCAAACTCGGGGTGCTTGGAACTCTCAACCGAAGAAAGCGGCAGCGACGGAGCTCTCATGGTCCGGCGCCATTTTCAGGGCTGGGAGAAGTCGGAACTCTATGGACTCGCTTCGACTCGGGACTGGTAACGAGTTTGGCTCATTAATAACGATGAAAATACAGATTTTATTTTCTTATACAGAGAAAAATAAAATAAAAAAGATTAAAAATAATCACACAAAAAATCGGAAAAAAGAAAAAGAAAAGAAAAAGAAGAAACCGATTAGATTTTCACAACCAAAAAGAAAAAAAGAAAGCTCTGGGTGTTTGAGAAAGAAAATCAAGAGAGAGATTATGAGGAAGAAGTACACAAGTACATACAGATACTAATTTACAGAGGAAACAAATCCACACAACTGAGATCTGAAAGAGAACGAGAGAGAGAAGATCGATCGAGTTTTGGGATTTGCGTTTGAGAGAGAGAGAGAGAGAGAGAGAGAGAGAGAGAGAGGGAGGCGGGAGAGTGCGTTTTGGGGACTGGTATCGGCTAGGGTTTATGATAAAAACCAGAGAGGGGGAGTTTTGGGTGAAACCAATCGCCGACTAGCGAGGACCGTCGGATGGGAGATGGACGGTTGAGATTGCACCTTCTTCGTTCTTTTTATATTGATTCGATGGCTCCAATGAGGTAAAAAAAAAGGAGAGAGAAAAAGGGAGAGTGGGTGTGTCTTTCTGTGTGTGAGAGGGAAGACTCAGACTGGAGGGAGTGGTTGATATTTTTACGTTATGTTGGGTGGAAATTACTGAAAAGGGCTTCAATGTGATGGGGGATAGGGGGGGAATTTCGAACGTTGAGATGGGGTTTTTGGTCTTTTAGACGGTGGAGCTTCATATTTGGGGGGTAAAAGTGGCGACTATTGCTGCCGTGACTTCGGGATTTAAATTGTGTTACGGTTGTAAATCTTGAAGGGGTACTACAAGTACGCTGTAATTTTTAGTTAACAATTTTTGCTTTTTTTATTTTTATTTTTATTTTTTATAATTGGATTGGAGACATAGCAAATTTAGAACTTCTCGACTACTAGCCAATGGGGTCTAGTCTAGTAAAAAAGAATCTCGATTTGCATATCAATGGTCTCAAATTGGAACCCTCAAGACACTTTGGTAGTGTGTGTGTAAACTCCCATACCTTTAGGGCCCATTCAATAATGTTTTTACAGCCCCTTTTTTGTTTTTGTATCATGTTTTTAGGCAAATACGCGTTCGGTGGTTTTCCCTCACAAAATGTTTTCTGATTTTCATTTTCTGAAGATATGAAAATTCATTTTGTCCCAATCTCTCTTTCTCCAATCAACTGAGCAGCACTATTGTGGAAACCATCTCCTTTGACCCAGACTCATCGTCGTCAACAACATTGTAGACCTTGAGTTCAGGTTGGTCTACCCATTTTAGTATGCCGCATTGGCACCGGCGACTGATGTTGGAGAACCACAAAACAGCAAAACCAAGAAGAGAGAGAGAAATGAATGTTTTTTTTTAATAAAGAGTAGGGGCAAATACAGTACTACATCAAGGTGGGATCTGGGAAGGAAGAAGAAAAGAGAAAGGAGAGGAGAGAAGAGGAAGGAAAAAAATGGGAAGGAAGAAGAAAGAGAAAGGAGAAAAGAGGAAGAAAGAAAGAAAAATGAGAAAAAAGAAAGTAGATAAAAATAATTTTACCCTTTAAAAAACATTAGAATTTTTTACTTGTTAAATTATATATATTTTTATTGTTTATAATTAGACTTGGCAAACGGGTTGAATTAACGGGTTTTGGGTCGTGTTCGTGTCAACCTGTTAAGTTAACGGGTTAACACGACACGACCCGTTAAGTTAACGGGTGACAAATACTAGACCCAAACACGACCCGTTACAATTCGCGAATATCCGACACGACCCGTTAACCCGTAAATAAAAAAAAAAAAAAAAAAAAAAAAAAAAAAAAAAAAAAAAAAAAGGAAAAACTAGTCTATCAGCTTCTCTCTCTACCCAGCCAGCCAACACGCAATCTCTGGCTTTTTTGAAGAACCAAAACCAACAACTCAGATAGAATCAATACCCACTAAAAGCTTCTACATTGAATCAATAGCAAGTTTACCTTGATAGGAATTTTGAAGAAAAAGAGCCCCAAAGTCCCTTCCACCTCCGTATCAGTATCAAAGGGTATTACACCCCTAGCCAAAGCTTCAAGCAAGTAAAACACGTCGTGGATGACGGTTTGCTGGTTTGCTGGGATTGGGTGTGGGTCGGGTCAGATGGGATCGGAGCATAGTATACATAGTCTACAGACTCGCCCTTGGAGGCCATTGTTTGTTCGAGTAGAAGAGAAGAAGAGAAGAATGAGAGGAAGAAGAAAAGGAAAAGGGTTTAAGAAGAAAAAGACACGGAAAAGAAGAAAGAAAAGGGGAAGAAGAAAAGAAAATAAAAATATTTTGCAAAATTACAGAATTAACCTCCTTAACGGGTGGCTAACGGGTTAACCCGTTTTTGACCCGATACGACCCGTTAGCTTAACGGGTGGCTAACGGGTTCACCCGTTTTCAACCCGACCCAATAAGCTCAACCCAAATACTGATAATTTCGTGCGAATTCGTGTCGTGTTAACGGGTCGTGTGCAATATTGTCAGGTCTATTTATAATAATCTCAACCTTTAAAAAATACCATATTTTTTTTGGATTAAATTATACATATTTCATTGTTTATGCTAGCAGTCACATTTTCATTGTTTTTATTTTATGAGACTGTATTCTAATTAAGCTACTAGACACATTCTCAAATCCTAAAAATGCAAATTCGTTTTCTCATTTTCATTCTTTGAAAATATTCTCAAAAAACATTCTTTAAAAACGTTACCGGGCCCTAAATATCTTGTGCATCAGTATTTGGACTCAATTTGTACCTATTGATCCCGTACCCATCTCATACCCTTTTGTTTTTATCCTTTATACATGAACCAATAGGATTGAAGCCCAACAAAGAGCCTTACCCGCGGAGAAAATTGTCATTCCTGGTCTCTGTAGATTCCTATTAGAAATGCTTCAGAAAAGATAACCATAAACACGTTTTGTTCCTTTTTTATATGGTTCAGAAAGCTTCATCACAACATCAGTCCTTTTTGGCAAAAATATATCACCCAAACGATTTCAAGGAAATTCCTTGTTGCACACGCCAAGTGAAATGAATATTTGGAAAAAAGAAAGTAGTTTGCGAAGCTCATGAGAGGTTCTTCGTAAAAGGTCTTTTTGCAGGATGAAACAGGGGATGACCATGGGCTTTTTTTTTTTTTTTTTTTTTTTTTTTTCTTTTCTTGTATAATAAGAAGTTCTATGTTACAAATCAAAATTGTGGCTAGTTTTCTCTTAAACTCTCAACTAGAATGAGCTTCTCAGCTCTTAAGCAAATGAAAACAAAAATCACAAGCTTTTATATATCTATCTCCCTTTCTATGCAACCCTTCAATTGGTCGCGTTTATGAAAATTTCCGTTTTGAATGAATTAGCTGTTGGGGAAAACCAGCCCTCAATCCAAGTAGCCCGCCCGGTCCCGGAGCATTCCATAACGTGTGAGTAACCTTCACAAGTAAAAGGAAAAGGTGAAGGATAAACAAGTTTCATTCCTTTGCGAAATGCTTGAGAAATTTTTTCTGCCGAAGACAATAAACAGTAGTTAAACCGAAAAGTGAAGAATGAAAAGGAAATTTGATTTCAGGAAAGAAGAAATTACCATCTATATGTTGAATGTGGGAAATCTTGGGCCATTCTTTGCTCTGTAGAAGAGGACATCCACAAAATTCTAGGGTTTTTAATTTGGTGAGACATTGAATAGCTATGACACTAGGTAGATACATCAGGTTCTTAAAATTCCAAATCTCCAGCTTCGTAAGGGATGTGAGGTTACCCAACCACTCTGGAAGAGCCTCTACTCCATGGAAACATTGTATCGACAAATATGTTAGAGAAGTGAAGTTTTGAATTTGTTGAGGCAGAGACTTTAGCTTGGGCCACCCCCTCACTACTAATGTTTCAAGCTGTGATGATCCAACCTGAAAATCAGGAACGAATCGAGGTCTAACCCACCAAGTTTCAAAAACTTCAAACTGGTGGAGCAGTGTGGCCCTATAGGTAGACATTTCAATTTGCCACAACTATTAATCTCCAACTTAGAGAGACATGTGAGGTTGTCTAAACTCGGAAGAGCCTCTAAATTAGGGGCGCACCGTATTTTCAACTCCACAAGAGAGATAGGCATTTCTAGCCCACTACACAACAACCTTTCTAATCTTTCACAATTTTGAATGCTCAGTTGACGTAGGGATGTGAAGTTTTGTAATTCTGGAATAGACTGTAGACCACGGCAATAGGTTATAGACAACTGTTCAAGGTTGCTACAGCTCCTGCTCAGTAGAAGATTTTCATCACTTATAGATACATTGGTTCTTGACCTATTTTCTGTCCATACAAATATCAAGTGACGTACATTTTTCTTCTCCTCTAATTTAGTTTTCCTTGCTTCATCTTCATCCATCACATGTTCCAGATTACAAATAACCAATTGACCTTTCAATTGATTCAAGGCAGCCAGCTCCTGAATTTCACGGCCTATCTCCTTATCCACATAAAAGGGAGGTAATGTTCGGAGGCTAGTCAATTTCCCCAATATCCCACGAGGAAATTGCATTCTCTTGTCACAATAAACATGTCTCAAGTTGATCAAGGTTTGCACTTCTTTTGGAAACTCTTCAAAAGCGCAGTATCTTGCTCTTAATGTCTGTAGATTATAGAGCTTGCCAATAGACCTTGGGAGTGTTTTCAATCTTGTTTCTGAAATGTCAAGATACCTCAAGTGTTTCAGCTTTCCAATTGATGTTGGAAGCTCTGCAATATTAGCCTTAAATAAATTTAAGACTCGTAAGGCTTTAAACCCTGGCAACATGTTGCTAGGGAGTTCGCCATCCGAAAATAGTGAGCGCAATCTCCCAACCCAACTTGCTCGAATTCTTTCTTGCATGGAAGTAGAAACCTAAGCAACATGTTGAATCTCAAGTGTATAACCCAACTTATCTCCTATCAAGCTTTCCGATTTGGATACAAGTTCTGCAAGATCGTGCATCTTGCATTTGCTAATAATGCCATATTCATTTGCTGTAGCATCTTGAAATAAAGAGCTTTGCAATAGAATATCAAAATATTCATTACCTACATCCTCCATCTCTTCACTTTCGTTGCGAGAAGGGTGGAGTAATCCCTGAGCCATCCAAAGTTGAATCAAGTTATCTGTTTCAATTTCGACATCTTTTCTCAACATTGAGCAATATGCAAAACATTTCTTCAAAGATGGTGATGTCAAATTATCAAAACTCAACTTCAAGATTAGAATGATTCTATCTTCTTCTTCAGCTAAGTCCCATATTCGACTTTCTTTGATTGAAGACCATTCAACAATACTATTTTTTGAGCGCAAAATGCCTCCCAAAACCTGTTACATGTATTAGAATTTCTATCAATTACTGAATACGGTTAAAATTAGCAAAAACAATGATGGACTATCAATAGGTTAAATGGCGCTGACTATCACATTCTATTGGATAATAATACTCCACTTTGCGAGAGTTTTGTGTTTTTGGTTTTTGGTTCTTTTAAAAACTTTGTTAGAACTATTACATGTGTATTTTAAAATAGAGTTATAATGAAAGAAGTTAGAGGTGACTTATCAAGTAGTAAATGAGAAAGAGCTTCTTGCCCAACTTTTTTCTTTTCAGGATAAAAGAAAAGAAAAATGTGGTTAAAAAAGAAAATAATAATAAAGAAAAAGAGGAAAGAATGTCTTTAGTAAGTTGTGTGGATCCAATCCAATTTGGATTTCCCTCGTCATCTACAAGTACTGGAAGAACATTTTTAACAAACAAATTTGTTCACTATATTTTATCATCAAACCACGTGGCAATGCTTGATTAATTCAAATATAAGTACACTTTAAAGCTTATTTATTTCTAACAAGACAATATTGACACGTACCACCCCCTTTGGTTCGCAGATTGAACTTCTTGAGAATAAACTTCCCATGTCTAATCTCACGAGATGGGAATGGAGGAGGATGTTCATTCCCATGTTTGTGAACACTGGGAAATGAAGACTAGGAAATGTCGTTTTCTCCCATTCCCCTGTTTGGTTTGTGCAGTATTTGTTATGAAAAGTTGATCGGTTTTCCAACAATACCCTTGTTTTTATTATTATTAAAAGCTACTAGTTTGAAGAGTTTTTTTAAGGGTCAAAAGTGGTATTTTAAAATAATAACATGGGTAAGTTATTCCAAAAAATTGCATTAAATGCTTTTCCAAGTGAGGGGAAAAAAAATTTCAAACTGAGCCAAGGGTATGAACTTCCCCCTACATGGGAGGCCTATACCCATGAGTCCATAATTGCACTCCCAATAGTGCACTTACCAAACATGGGAATGCAATTTGAAACCCATTCCCAAACTCCTAAACCTTAAGCTAAACGGAGAGGCAGAGCTAGGTGCTTATCTTTAAGGATTAAAATACATGTGGTTTGTCCAAACTGTCCAAATCGTTACATATGTTGGTAAACTTTTTTAAAGAAATTAAGAAATCTCCTATGGAGGTTCGGGGGCTAAGGCAACTCATGGCAATATGTGGATCATCATTTGGTGACTCTGCCATTGTTACATTTTTTTACTAAGAGCATCTCTTACTCTTTTAAACAAGTAGTTGCTTTTTTCAACTCTCTAGGACGTTGAATTTTCTTTTCGTTATGAATTAAAGATCATTTGAGTTGCCATGTAAGTTTAACAACTCAATATCAAGGTCAGTGGTTTATGAAATATATTATCAAACCTCTATATTTTACTATAAATGTTAGTATGAAATTTGTATTGTCATTTCCTAGACTCTAGCATAGGTTGGGAGTTAGTGTGTGAATATCGTTTACTAGACGTTTTGGCGCAACACATTCAATCCCAGGTTTCCAAAGCATGACTTGACCGATATGAGGAATCTGATTTCAGGTAAATCATGACATAATCATGCATTCATTATAGGATTCCTAGTTGGAGTTATTTTCACTCAAGTATTTTTATGTTAATCTTATTTTTAATAAGATTAGATTTTTATCTCTTGAGATTACTTTCCTAGTTCAACTCTATTTTAATTGAAGTTAAAATATTATCTTTTCCTATTGTGACTTTGCACGTTGCTTACCTCTTAGTTAATTTGGTTTAAAGAGAGGCGTCATTACTTTGAGTCCAAGGTGAATCAAATCTCTTATTGATGATAGGTTGTGGTGCAATAGGAAGTTTAATATTCGTGGCCTATTGGGTTTCTCTCCCATGAGAGAGAACAAGTCTTGTATAAAAGATCATGTGCCATTCTTTTGTTTGTACAGCTTTTGAGATATTTGTTCTGAGCATATAGAATTCTAAGAAAAGCTGTTGTGCGTATATTTGAGATAAATCATCAAGTGTTCAATGTTTACTTGGTGATTTATCAAACACTTTAATCATTCATATTGCATTCATATGCATGTCGGTGACTCATACGGTTGAGGGCACCAAGACCGTGGTGGCGGTTTTCCTCCGGTGAGCTTGAAGCAATCGTGGCCAGTATTGCGTTCAACATAAGGAGTGTCGAAGATCATCCCGTGACAGAAGTTGAGTTACGAAGAAGTCGGTAAACATTATCTAGAATGTGTCTAGGATAAGTGTGTGAGTATTTCTTGTAATCATCGTTCTATAGTGGATTTGTGTTGGACTGAGGAGTCCCGTGGATTTTCCCCAGAGGTGGGGTTTTACCACGTAAAATAATTCTCTGCGTGTTCTTTTATTTTATGCCCAGCACGTTACAGGATTGATAAGCCATATCAATCCTGCTACCAAAGTTTATTTTTATTTATTTGATTAGAATCTTAAATTGGCCTATTCACCCTCCTCTAGGCATTTTGAGTCATCCTGCAGGTATTTTCAATAAAGATGGAAACCAGGATGTTAAAGACTTTGTGGTTTTGATAAATTATATCTCCATTTGAAATCAGGCATTTACTTTATTGTGAAATGTTTTCCGTTTATATTTATGCATGAAAGTGTGTGCTATTCATGAAACATGAGGACTTTATACTTATCCGAGAGATGTAAGCGCCACACGAAGACGTGAGGAAATTAGGGACCTCTTACATCACAGCATATGAAGGTTTAGTGGGATGTGATATGGTGTGATTTATATTTTGATAAGAAATTTGCCAGAAAATTTTGAAACAAATGTGTTTTGTGCAGCATGTAACACAATATTGCTTGGTTAGAATATTACATAATCTACTCATCGAGCATGTGTTTGCTTATTCCTTAGATTCGAGAAATTACTATATCACTTGTTGAACGTGTGACTGTTTTCTACTTTAGTTCTATATTTGGGGCTTTTTTTTATAGCTTGTTTGGAGTTCTTTTTAGTATTTACTATTAGATTTGTTCTTTTACAGACTTAAGTAAATCATACATATCAAACTCTTTTCTACAATTTGGGTAACACTTAAAAAAGAAATCGAAAATACAAGAACTAACAAATACAACTTGGAGTTATAGCATAACATTTCATCAAATGATAACCCTGACATAACCTTAATGGGATTAGTTTGTATTGGCTAAGTTTCAAAATTTGCAATATTAATATTAGTGAATAGCATCTTGTGCATAGCTATCTAAAAATTCATGCATGAGAGTTCTTTTATACTCCACGTAGTCAGCATGTGTCAAACAATTATGCATTAGATGGTTTACTTGTTTATTTACTTGCAAACTGGTTATATGTCAATGAATTAGATGGTTGAGTCATCACTACGTGTCTTCACTATTTTTGTTCAAATTCTTCTATTGACTTGGAGTGAAGGAAAAGTTACTAAAGCTTTAAAAAATAACGAGATGATCCTAAAAGCATGGAAGTTATCTCATAGCCACCGCCTTTGGAATCCTATAAATACAAATCATTGTTTCTTCAATTCTCATTTCCCTCTTCAGAAAAATAGAGGCAGTAGAACAAGGAAATAAAATAGAAAGTGAGAGAGAAGTAAGAAATAGAAAAAAGTAGAATTGTCAAGAAAAAGAGTGGGAGACTAAATTTGTGAATGCGGTGGAAATTAGGGAATCGTTTTACAATTCTAGCAAAAGCTTTGGTGTCAAGGTATTCTTGGTGACTTTTTACAAAGATTGATCTAATTAAATTTCGTGAGCAATATATTACGCGTGATATTATTATTTGATTATTAATGATATTGGGTGTTTAAGTGTTGTTAATTATCATTATATCATTTTATTAATACTGACATGATCATATGTTATCAGTGATGGTTGGAATTCTTGGATTGATAAAGAAAGTATGGAAAAGAGGGTAATGGGAAGGATCTTTTGTGTAGTTGAGTTTGACCATTGTAGGGATCAAGTCCAGGCAAGCCCGTGTGCATAGTAGACTAGGAAATCGGCGGTATAATTGTCGATTGGGCGATTTGGGCTTAGAGATCAATGGTGTAGACAAGACGACTAACAAAAGGGGAATTATGAGATGATTGAAATGGGTGTTAGTTCATATAAATGGGCATTCGGGACCAAGTGGTATAAGCATGGTATGAGACGTGCATATCTGCTTGTCCAGTTATATGAATTAACAAGAGTAGATGAAAAGCATTCATGCATTATTATTATTGTTATTATTAATGCGATATTTGGCTGTGTAATTGTATGTCACTTAATTTAGTTATATCAATCTACTGTGGCAAGGTCTCATGTCCCTACTGAGCGATGGTTACTCATCCATCACCCTGTTTAACTTTTCAGATGAATTAATGGGCAAGAACAGGACTAAATCGATTGAAGCTAAATTAGATGAGAGTAGTAGAGCTTTATTTATTTCTTGTAAAGTTGTAAGATTTCGGAGCTATTTTTATAAGAGAAATTTATTTTAAACCCACGTTTTGGTTTCTATTTATTTTATTTTAGTTTTTTTTTTTCACACACTGAGCGCGGGGTTTCCATTGACCACCGAGTCCGGGGCGTGAGTACAATACGGTTCAGGTTTTAATTTTGACTGAAAATAGGATCGTGCCCACCCCTACCACATAGAGAGCTGCTTTGGGTTTTGAATTTTCCACCTATCCAAACAAGAAAGGTGCATTCCAGAAAGTTGACTAATATGATACCCTGATGTTCAACTATCAAATAGGAAGAATGGTTAACAAAGAACTCCACCAGCCTGGGGCAGAGGTTGATGGAGAGGCCAAAACAGAAGCCCGCAAAGTTCTCTGCCCTTGATCAGACCAATGAGCTTAATCTTATTGTTGGAAAACAACATGAGGATTGCGGAGCATCATCTGCTAATAATAAGAAAGACTTGGTATATACTCTAGGAACAGGAGAGGAGGCCTCTCATCAAACAAGAAAAATGAAAACGGTTCAACACTTTCAAGATTCACATTAAATCCCACACTATGAATCGAGAAAATCTGCGAGATCCAGAAAATGTTTCAAATTACTTGAAGGTTATATCAATTACAGACAAGAAATGGGTTGACATGCCAACCAACCAACAAAAGTTATACACACATCCCGGCATTAGAGAACAGGGTATGTCAGAACAACATTGGTACTGAAACTGATGCTGAATATGCTAAAAAATGTAGGTTCAAAATCTGAAAAGTCCTGCATGTTTGCATCAACTACATGGTGCAACAGAGAGGGCATTCCTGCATTTCCTTCTTCTTTGCTCTGTTTCGATTAAGTTGTTACGATGCAAATAAATCCTCTCTCTATATATCAATCTCTCTCTCTGTACCCACCCCCTCAGGCCCTGAAAAGAAAGAGCAAAAATGCTCAGCCTTATCAACTCCATATAACAGAAATACTGAAATTAACAATGCACATGAATATTTACTCAGACTAGACACATTACCTCTAAACAAGTCGTGATAAAGAATCCACAAATACCGAGAAGCATTGCCTTCCAACGAAAGGGTACCTGCTCGATGACAAACGGCATGCTTAAGAAAATATTTATGTGCATCCAATCATGGAGTGATTAATACCTATAATTGTAATTCTAATAAAACCTACA